AAGGCACAGGTAGAGCTGTTAAGATTATTGATAGAACACTATGAGCAAGCAGATGTTCACAACCTTATAAAAACTAAATAGATAAGACAGGTTTAGAAACATGATATAAACCTGCATCTAGCTATTCACATACCTTGTTTTCTTCACCTGAATGCTGCTACTGAGTTTTTCCAGTACATATTCACCAGTGTCATGATTAATAATAAGCACACAGTCTTTCTGGTAAGGCCGTTTGTTCCCCTTGAACACAGTCATGGGTGGCGTGGATCCCTATTTGCCACAAAAGTATAAGATGATCAAACTAAACAAACCAGTTATGAATACCAACTGAATTTATAGATGACTCTACCTGATAAAATGTTTTATTAGAGCTATTTAAAAAGAATAGACTGAACTGATTTCTATTTTAATTCCTTCTGGTTTCCCAGGCGAAAATAAAGGAGAAATAATATAGCAAGAATCTGTGAATGTGCAATGCGTTCTAAGTAATCAAGAAAGGTAGTATAAAAATTTTAAATTACTGTATATGTTCCAAGAGAGAAAAACAAATGAACCATTACTTGCATTATACTAAGCAGAGCTATCACTCTGTATGGTACAACTGTGAGTGATCCCTTTATTTCTTCTTAATTATATTTCTTCTTAATTAGATAGTCCAGGGTTTCCCCTTCTCAAGTCAAGCAACCAACAGAGCATTCTCCAAGAGCGGGTCATTTTCCTGGTTGGCTCTGAATAAATCAGTCAGGTCACTCATCTGCCTAAGCCTTTCAATCACTCCTCAGTTGCTCTGAAGCCAAAGGATAAAATCTTTAAACTAGCCAGGAAACCCTGCACTACTGGGCCCTTCCCTGACTCTCCACCTTACCCCTGCAGCAGATGCCCCTGGGCATGTGCTTCAAAGCAGAAGGGAACTGGCTTCTCTCAGATCCTCAAGCTCTCTCCTGCCTCTGAGTCTTAACAAGGCTTCTCTGGCTATATCCTGCCCGCTCTCTTTAAATTACCCAACCTCCAGATCTGCTCACAGGTTACTTCCTTATGGAAGCCGCCCCTGATTTAGAATAACTGCTGTATTTTCTAATGTTTATTTAAACTCCAGACCATAAGCTCCACAAGGGCAAGAAATGTGCTTGTTTTGTTCAAGGTTGTGTTCTTCATGCCTAGTGATGGGCCAATGTGTGGGAGGCATTTGATTAATATTTGTTGAATATAGTATTTAATGCCTTGCTTAGAATAAAAAACCACTTGGCTCTCTGACTGCTTATTTATATAGTAAAACTATAGCGCTAGAAAGGACTTTAGGGACCATTTATCTAAACCTTTGATTTTACATATGGGAAACTAAGGTCCAAAGGGAGATGATGTAACCTGCCAAAGGCAACAAGTAATCAAACAGCAGTTTGAACAGGCAGACCATTTTTCTCAGTACAAAGCTTTCCAGATCTCCCTGTCCAGAGACTTTTCATTCTGTCACCAGCTACCAAGAACTTACATTCCAGGATGGGGGTGTGACATGCAATAACACATGTTCACTAGAGCATCATGTGACCCTCTGGTGCTTTGTGATTAGTGCTGCCTTGGGCACTAATTCACAAAAGTCTTTCTCTGCAAGGGTTCTTAATCCAGCTTTTAACTTAGTTCTCCATCCCTAGATCAGGGGAATGTGCCAAACCTCTGGCTCCTGCCTGCCTTAACTCCTGGCTTGGCTGCCTCACACTCCTGAGCTGTTGTGGCCATATAATCAGCAGGGCACCTAGGGCTTCTCTCTCTGGAGTTGCTTGGGAGAAAAGCTATATCAAAAGAGGGGCTAGGTGTCCAAACAAGAACCTTGTCTACTCAGTAGCAGATGGGGGAAAAGGAAGCTTGGGCAAAACGACAAAGAATCTTTTTTTTTTTTTTTTGTAATGAGAGGGAGTCTCATTCCGTCGTCCAGGCTGGAGTGCAGTGGCATGATCTTGGCTCACTGCAACCTCTACCTCCTAGGCTCAAGCGATCTTCCCACCTCAGCTTCCCAAGTACCTGGGACCACAGACATGCGCCATCACCCCCAGCTCATTTTTTGTATTTTTTGTACAGACGGGGTTTCACCATATTGCCCAGGCTGGTCTTGAACCCCTGAGCTCAAGTTATCCATACACTTCTGCCTCACAAAGTGCTAGGATTACAAGAATTATTTTTAATCAAGCACCTGCCTAGCATGAAGTCCACCCCACCCCACTCCCTCAAATCCCTTTTTTGCTTATGTTGCCACTTTAGAAATCTAAACATTTTTAAAAGTAGGAAGTTTAAATTGCAATAATATAAAAGACAAGAATTCACTGTGACCCCACATTTAAAAAAACAATGAAATAAACTCACAGGGATATGTGGCAGTGTAATTGTGACTTCATCTCCTTTGCCAACTTGAAGCTCTCCTTCACAGGAAGTGTCTATAGATGCTGGTTTAAAATCATCTAAAGGGAAAGGAAACAAAGCACTTATCCCCCAGGTTACTAATAATAAGGCTTCCTGGGCATCTCCATTTAAGAATTTAAACTGTTATTACTCAGATGAATAGAAAATAAAACTAATTTAGAATTCTTAAACATCTATTTTTTTTTTTTTTTTGGAGACAAAGTCTCACAGTCTCACTCTGTTACCCAGGCTGGAGTGCAATGGCATGGTCTCAGCTCACTGCAACTTCTGCCTCCCGGGTTCAAGACATTCTTCTGCCTCAGCTTCCTGAATAGCTGGGACTACAGGTGAATGCTGCCATGCCCGGCTAATTTTTTGTATTTTTTTAGTAGAGATGGGGTTTCACTATGTTGCCCAGACTGGTATCAAATTCCTGAACTCAGGCAATCCGCCCACCTTGGCCTCCCAAAATGCTAGGTTTACAGGAATGAGCCACTGTGTCCAGCCTTAAAAAACTGTTTCATTATGGAAAACCTCAGATACACAAAAGTAGAGAGAATAGCACAATGAGCCCTGGTGTACCATTATCCAGTTTCAATTATTACCAACTCAGGGACAATCTTGTTTCATCTACACCTCCACATACTTTTCCTCTGACCCTCTTTGGGTTATTCTAGCGGGGAAAAGGAATTTATAGGTTATTTTACTAAACAAAGACATTCCCTTCTCCCAAGGGAGAGATGAAAATTAATGCCTCATCATCCATAATAAGTTGCTTTTTTAGGGTTGTGAGGATCAAAAGTAATAGCATATGAAAAAGAATAGTGATGGGGTCTCACTATGCTGCCCAGGCTGGTCTCAAACTCCTGGGCTCAAGCTATCTGCCTGCCTCGGCCTCCCAAAATACTGGGATTATAGTGTCAGCCACCACTCTTGGCCAGTTCCACAGCTTTAACCAAGACACTTCTGTAGATGTTCGGAGCAGACAACTGTATCTCCAAAATTTATCCTGCTCATGTTTCTAAATTGCGGTTAGGAGTACAACATGAATAGCCATCTTAATTCACATTCACACCTGCCTCAAACTGCAGGCCAGGTGCACACATGAACTATATGATAAATTACACCTTGCCCTTCACCAGAAGAAAACATCAAGTTAGTAAACTGTTCAGGAAATGATGTTCTTATCTCATTCCCAATCTCCTCTCTCTGAAAGTGCTATCTGTCAGTAGGAAGCATAGTAATGGCATGGCAAGTGACCACACAAAGATGGAATTTCATTATCTAACACGCCCTCTTCACATGTGTTGAGTCACATCTATTAGGTCCTCTGACAAAAACAAGTCTTAACAACAGCATTAGTGCCACGGAAACCAGAAGTTCATGAATCACGGAGGGATGCTCTGTCAGCCAATTCCTAACTGCCAAATCTTCACCCAGGACATAGGGTGGAAGTGCACTCGCTCAGCAGAGTCTATAATCATGTAGAAAAAGGTCCGGCATAATGACTATTTCGGCATTCCCTGCGCCTCCTCTCTTCTGCTTCCAAACATAGACCAATCTTTAACCTATCCCAGGCTCATGAACTCTAATTTGACCAAGGAACTTGGTCTGGAGGAAAAGCCAGGGTAGTAAAGGTAACCTCAAAAGAGATCCAAGTCAAAGGAAGCACAGAAAGGAGATGGAAGAAGACTCTGACGAGGGCAGAGAGGATGCCAATTCTTTGGCGGTAGAGGGGACAAAGCACAGTATCTGAGTGTCCAGGACCAAGTCGGAGGAGGAAAACAGGGAAGAGAATGGATTCGGAGGGAGTGGATGAGGCTCACAGCAAACAAGAACTGTCTTTTAAATGTGGGGAATCCTGATGGGAGCATCGGAAAGGAGGAAGAGGGGTGTCGAGGGGGGAGAAGTGGACCTGGATAAGAGAGGAAAGGTTTGCCTGGTGGAGGGGGAGGTTTGCCTTAGGGGCGAGGTGGGGTGTCGGGGAGGGATGGAAATGGAAAGAGGCCAATGACCTTTGGAACTAGTGTTTGAGACTATGAGAAGAATAGAAGGAGGTGACGAAGATTTGGGAGAAATAATCTGGGTAAAAGAAGGGACAAATCGAGGTACCAAAGGATTTGGGGTTCGAGAGAAGGCAACTGACGCTGGCAGGGGGTTCCCTGGAATCTGAAGGGCTGAGGGAAGAAAGGAAGGAGTAGGGGTTGATATGTGGCGCCTGGAGCGGCCGCAGGGAACTGTGGGGAGCGCTGACTTACAACGAATCGTGTGGAAGGAGGCCCGCGGCCGCTTCTCGAAGCTCTCCCCAAGCCGCAGGCAATGTTCCTCGCGGTCCAGCAGCGGGTTCGCGGTCCCGTTCATGGTCCCGCACTGACCTCGCACCCGGATCGGCGCCCTCCTGGCGCAGCCGCGACCCGAGCTTCCGGCGTTGGCGTCTGGAAGGACGGTGCTCCTGGGAGGACACAGCTCTGAAGCGCAAGGAGAGCCGAGCCGGCGCCCACAGGGGCTCACAAGCAAGCCCTCTTCTCTGCCTCGGGGTGGGGGAAGAATCTGAGGCCGCAAGGCCGCGGGACTTCCGACGTTCGGTAGGAACTTCCGGGTCCCCAGCGGAAGTGGCGGGGGCGGTGCCATGGCAAAAGAACTCCTCCCGGAGAATCCCAATGCGAGGTCCTCAGGATTGGCTCAGAGTTGTGCTGCGATGCCACCCATATTCTGCCTCCGAAGCTTGAGGCTGGCTGTGGGGTGAGTGCTCCTGGCCCCACCCCTACAGTTGAATTTAGGAACTGATGACGGTAAGCCCTGAGCGTGGCTGACTAGATACGCGGGTCGGCTAGTCATTAAGGGCGCCCTCCTCAGGGTCTAGGGCCCTACGTGGCCCAGTTTATCCTGAGTGTCCTGAGGTGAATCCTCCGGACCTCAGCCACGCGTCACTGGGTCTCTTCCTCCACTTCGCGCGGTGATAGCGGAGCGAGGGCTTCAGTCCCCGGAAAGTGACGCCCCCTCTGGTCCGTACGACAGGCTCTTGTGAGTGCGATCAGGAACGGAGTTCCCCCCGCCAGGCTTCGCTTTATTTCCCGCGAAAAAACGGAGCTCCGACCCTTGGGAAACGGTGAATTCACTTGTATCTGGCAATTGACCACCCGCTTCCAGCTAAGGCCATTGTGGTTTTTAAGTTACCGCTTTCATGGGCACCAAAAATTGAGGACTATTTTCTCCAGAGGGTTTCCCAGTCAGTTCGTGAGAGGGCCTTTTTCTAAACTAAATCGGTTTATTGTAATAGTTGACTCGTCTGGTTTGAATAAAAGTATGGTGCATGAGATAGTCCTGGCCACTGAATGAATGTATCCCCTCTGAAGTACGGACTGTGTCTTGATCTTCTTTGTGACCTCTCCTATAGCGGGCAGGATCTTTTTTGTACAGTCGGCGTCTCATAAATATTTGGTGAATTGAACCTGGCGTCTTGCACTGTTCTAGAACCACTAACCAGAATCTCATTGTTTTTTTCTGCGAAGCACCCTATGCTGTTTGAGACGTGAAACTCACCTGAGGAAATGCATCTGATCCATTAGCATGGATTTATATTATTTGGGGATGGAGAATCTTCAGCTGCCTTAAGTTTCTGTTACCGTCAGTTTCTGAGATGGCTTCTTTGCAAAGGAAAGGGCTGCAGGCAAGGATTCTCAGCTCTGAAGAAGAGGAGAAACTGAAAAGAGACCAAACTTTGGTGTCTGATTTTAAACAGCAAAAATTGGAACAAGAGGCTCAGAAAAACTGGGATCTTTTTTACAAAAGAAATAGCACTAATTTCTTCAAAGATAGACACTGGACCACCAGAGAGTTTAAGGAGCTAAGATCATGTAGAGAGGTAAGCTAATATTACACCTTATCTGAGCTGTTCTTCATTTAAAATGTGAAAAGGTGTGCTTTACTGCAATCTTAGGGAGAGTGTGAAGTAGAAAATTTAAGAAGCCTATCCAAAAGCTTTGCATTTTAGGAGAGAAATATACTGTTTGGTCTTAACACCAAAGTTTTCTCATTTTCTGGTTTGGTTAACACATAGGAGAGGGAACTTTAGAGTGTGTTTTCTGTTTTTTTAAGCTGATCTGATAGTTGTAAACATTAAATATTAAATTCAAGAGCTAGATATGGTGGCTGTCACCCAGCTACTCCAGAGGCTCTGGCAGGCAGCTTGTGCCTGTGTGAATTAGCCAAGCCTGGGCAGCATAGTGAGACCCTGTGTTCTAAAGTTTAAAAAATTTAAACATTAGAATTTAAAAAGAACAAAAATATAAATTCATACTGAGTGACTTCAGTGACAAAGTCAAAATAATAATAATAATGTTAGTGAGCTATTTACCATGGCCCTTTTCTAAGAACTTCACATGTCCTATCATTTGAGCCTTCTACAGGCTCTGTGAAGTGTATTAGTATTGTCCTCATTTGTCCCCAAGGTAAAATTGAGGCACAGAGCTGTGATTTGCCCAAGGAGTTGAGATTTGAGTGCTGAGAGTTTAACTCCAGAGCCGAGTTAGCCATTGTGCTGTTTTTATCCTCCACACCAAACTGTTAATGTTGGATGACAAATGAAGTACCAGTCTTAGCTTTTGCTTGTTAGTTCACTTGTGTATCATCTGCACCATGGGGTCAGAGACCTCTCATATTCTGGACCTTTTAGTTTGGTTTATTTCTTTGTTATGTAAATGTAACATACTATAACTTTGGGCTATTTTTCCCCAGTTTGAAGATCAAAAGTTAACAATGCTTGAAGCTGGCTGTGGGGTTGGAAACTGTTTATTCCCACTTTTAGAAGAAGATCCGAATATCTTTGCCTATGCCTGTGATTTTTCTCCAAGAGCAGTTGAATATGTTAAGGTTGGTATACCATCCATGTATTCTGCCATGTTTCTGTTTTCTTGCAGATCTTGTTTGATACCCATTTGCCCAATTCTATAGCTAACCAGCTATAGTCACCATAAATGTAGCTTTCCTGCTTACATATATATACAGTGCATGCAGAAACACAGCTTTATTGGAGAAAAATAGTGACACCCATATAATTAACATCTTTTGCTTTATAATTTTTCTTTGCTGAACCATTTTAAAGTATATTACAAATGTCAAGACATTTCACTCCTAAATATGGTTGCATATATCTCCCCTTGTACACAGCCACAATAAGTTTGTCATATGTAACAAAAATACCTATAATCTGGCCTGCCATACTTGTAATCCCAACACTTTGGGAGGCTGACGCTGCTGGATGGCTTGCACCCAGTACTTCAAGACTAACGTGGGCAACATGGTGAAGCCTTTTTTTTTTTTTTTCTGAGATGGGGTTTTGATCTTGTTGCCCACGCTGGAATGCAATGGTGTGATCTTGGCTCACTGTAACCTCTGCCTCCTGGGTTCAAGTGATTCTCCTGCCTCAGCCTCCCGAGTAGCTGGGATTATAGACACCCACCACCACACTCGGCTAATCTTTTGTATTTTTACCAGAAACAGGGTTTTATTATGTTAGCCAGGCTGGTCTTGAACTCCTGATCTCGTGTGATTCGTCTGCCAAAGCCTCCCAAAGTGCTGGATTACAGGCAGGAACCACTGTGCCTAGCTGGTGAAACCTTGTCTTTACAAAAAAAAAAAAAAAAAAAATACAAAAATTAACTGGGTATGGTGGTGCACACCTGTAATCCCAGCTAATCAGGAGGCTGAGGTGGAAAGATTACTTGAGTCCGGGAAGTGGAGATTGCAGTGAGTCAAGATTATAGCACTGCACTCCAGCCTAGGCAACAGAGCGAGACTGTCTTAAAATAAATAAATAAATAAAATAACTATAATCCCCCAATGTCATTAACATCCATTCCAGATTCAGATTTCCCCAGATAGTTCCAGGTGTCTTTTAGTTTTATTTTTTACTTTTTTTAGAGATGGGGTCTTTCTCTATCACCCAGTCTGAAGTGCAGTGGCATGAACATGGCCCATTGCAGGCTTCACCTCCTGGGCCTGAGTGATTCTTCCATGTTAGCCTCCCAAGTAGCAGAGACTACAGGCATGCACTACCACACCTGGCTAATTTTTTAAATTTTTTGTAGAGATGGGGTCTCACTATGTTGTCCAGGATGGTCTCAAACTCCTGGGCTCAAGTGATCAACCAGCCTCAGCCTCCCAAAGTGCTGGGATTACAGGCATAAGCCACTGCACCTGGCATCCAAGTGTCTTTTATAGCTGGTTTTTGTTTGATACATGATTTTACTGTGTAAACCAGGCTGGAGTACAGTGGCGCAATCACAACTCATTGCAGTCTTGACCTCCTTGGCTGAAGCAGATTCTCGCACCTCAGTCTCCCAAGTAGCTGAGAGTACAGGCACGTGCCACCGTGCCCAGCTAGTATTTTATTTTTTGTTTAAAAAAATTTTTTTTTAATTTTAGAGATACGGTCTCACTATGTTGCTGGGCTTGAACTCCTGGGCTCAAGCAATCCTCCCAACTCGGCCTCCTAAAGTGCTGAGATTACAGGTGCTAGCCATGGCACCTGACCCTGGCTAATTTTCAAATTTTTGTAGAAATGAGGTCTCCCTATATTGCCTAAGCTGGTCTCAAACTCTTGGGCTCAAGCGATTCTTCTGCCTTGGCCTCCCAGAGTGTGGGATTATAGGCATGAGCTACCATCCCCTACCTATAGCTGATTATAATCCAGTCAAGTACTACCTCTTACACTTATGTCCTTTATTTTTTGTTTTATTTTATTTTTTGAGACCGAGTCTCTCCTCTGTTGCCCAGACTGGAGTGCAGTGGTGCAATCTCAGCTCACTGCAACCTCCACCTCCCAGGTTCAAGCATTTCTCCTGTCTCAGCCTCCCAAGTAGCTAGATTTATAGCCACCCGCCACCACGCCTAGCTAATTTTTTTGTATTTTTAGTAGAGATGGGGTTTCACTGTGTTGGACAGGCTGGTCTCGAACCTGAACTCAGGTGATCCATCCACCTCAGCCACCCAAAGTGTTGGGATTATAGGTGTGAGCCACCTCGCCTGGCCAAAAAAGTTTTAATTAGCCAGGTGTGGTGGTGTGTGCCCGTAGTCCCAGCTGTTTGGGAGACAGGCAGGAAAACCACTTGAGCTCAGGAGTTTGAGGCCGCATGAGCTATGATCATGCTACTGCATTCTAGCCTGGGTGACAGAGCAGGACCCTATTAAAAAAAAAAAAAACAAAAGCAAAACCTAAACCCATTATTTTTAAAAAGTTAGTACGTTTACTGTAGGAAACTGAGAAACACAAGAAGCAAAGAACAAAGTCATCCACAATCACAACCCGTTTACAGTTTAACTTGTCCTCCTAGGTCCTGTGTATGTATAGACACATTATGTAGTATGTATCATGTTTTATCACACATTATGAATATTTACCAATTGAAAGTCTCAAAGCTGTATGAGTATTTTGATAACCAAGAACACCCTACACCAACTCAATCTGTTCGAAGAAAATATAATCTTACCTGTCTTGGGACAAAAATTTCATAGAAGACAAATATGGTAGCACACCTCTAGGTAGAAGTATTGGCAGAGTTCCCATTAAAAGACTGTATTGCCTTAATGCTCAATTTAAAATGGAACATAAAGTAACAGAGTATACCAAGTATAATGTTTCCGAGAGAATTTATTATGGGATCTTTGCCACTGGAATATTACCAAGAAGATATGTTTCCATTGAATTACTTAATGTATTCCCATAGTACAGCTAAGAGAAACTAACATACATTAGTGGCTATTGTCAAAATGTAAATATGAATACATCTGCATACATCTATCTCTTTATACTTCTACCGCTCTGTTCCCCTCTGATGAACAAATCCTGATATATACATTGCTCGGAGGTGGTTTAACAACTCCATGTCCAACATTCATCTTTTCTATCAATTATAACAAAAAGCTATTTACAAATTGGCAAATTCACTAGGCCTAGTTTTAAAATAATTTTGTAGGTGCATAGTAGACATATATAGTTATGGGGTATCTCTGCTTTTTATTGTATGTTGTCACATATGTCTATAAAGGTTAGGTGTTGCAAAATAATGAACTCTGTCCACAGTAAACACAGGTACTTTACTAAAAATGTACATATAGACCTGTGGTTATCATCTCAAACCATCTTCTAAATATGGAAATTCTGGCAAAGAGCCCTTTCCTCTACCCCTTCTTCCTCCTCTTCTACCATTCCAGTGACTAAGTCAGGACTATGTCTAGTTCCAAGAGGTCAGTTAACAAAGGTCACTCCCAGAGGATAGTCCTTCCTAAAAACTAAAAAACAGATTATTTTACTACCTCTACTTTTAGCATAGTTTGAGCATCAGGGACTTGTTTATCCTTTAATACACAGCAGTATTAACTGAGATGCACATATAGAACAATGGCTAGACAATCTGAACTAATCTGACTCAAGGGCACAGAATCCTACTCTCTGCATACTTCCTCCTCCCCCTGCCCACTACTACCCAGTGAATAGTCAGCACACCCTCTAAGACATCATCCGTTTCAATAATTCCATTCCCAAAATGCAACCAGTCCTATGAACAGAAAATGCTTAAAGGATGTTACATTAGCCCTCTACTTTTGTTACTTTAGCCCTCTACAGTGCCAGAAGTACACGTATGTTGTGTACTTTTAAATGTCTAGAAAGACTAGATGTTTCAAATAGGACTTAAGTTTTCCACTGTAGCATTGAATAAGTGGTACACATAAATAATAAGCTGTCATTTGAAAGTGCCATCTAAATAGGAACATTCTGGCACAGAACACTTCCCACCTCTATCAACTCAGTGGATAGGTATAAGCATCTGTAATCTAGAGGGGATTTTAACAATTTCACTTCCCTAAGTGTTCTTAAGAACAGTCTTTCCTATGAATTTGAACACAAAGTTACTCAATGTATTAGGTTACTGACTTGTCATACGCTGGCAACCTCTTTAACATCTAGAACTAGATGTTCCAAACTAGGATGCATTTGTCCTTCATATACACTATATGCTCAGCAAAGTAAAAGAAAATGCATGGACAATAAGGTACAGTGGTCAATCTTGCCTCACTATAAGCACATTGGTATAAAGCCCTTTGCACTCTATTCTCCTCCTTTTCCCCTGACCCAAATGTAATGATGTATACTGCTTAGAGAAGTGGTTTGATCATTTCATTTCCAAAAGGTGATACTTCAGTGAATTTTAACAAAAGGATATCTACAAAATGTGTTATTTACTACCTCTACTTTTTAACATACTTTGTGCACTTCTAAACATCTAGAAAGTCTAGATGTTTTAAATAAGCACTTGTTTGTCCATTATATACATGGTAGATTTTTTTTAAATAGTTGTGGTATCATATTTACTATAACATGCTTTCCTCACTCTACATTATTATATTTTGCACAGTTTTTCATGTTAGTACATGCAGATTTTATTTACCTATTATAGTATTCCATAGAATGGATATACCATACTTTATTTAGCAGTTACCCTATTGATATTTATTTGAATTGTTTCTAATTTTTTGTTCTTATAAATAGAGTTAATGTGATCAGCATCATGCATATGCTTCCCAAAACGTGCGTGCCCATTTGTCTATGATGAAAAATGGAAGAAGTAGAATTCTTTGGAAGAAGAGCATGCACATTTACATTTTAATAGACAATGCCAAGTTTCCTTCTAAAAAGATCATACTAATTTATAATTTCACCAATAATATAAAGGTACCTTTTTCTTTATTGCCTCAACACTTGATATCAGTCTTTTTTATATTTACCAATCTTGTGAGCAAAAAATGTCTCTGTATTTTAATTTGGTTTTCCTTATTACTGGAGAGGTTGAAGACCTTGTAGAAGGTCGATAGCATTAGTTAGCTGTGAGTTCCTTTGGTCTACATCTGTTTATTGAGAGATTAATGTGTGCCAATCATTGTTTTAAGCACTGGAGTTAAACAGTGAACAGACAAAAATTCCCACCCACATGAAGCTTATATTGTCCATTCATAGCCTCTGCCCATTTTTCTATTGGTTTGTCATTTTCTTTCTTATTTTCAGGTTATATTCTAGATATTGTAGTATATATATTGCAAATATTTCTTCCAGTATGTTCAGCATTGCTTTACGATATCTTTTTTTCCACACAGGATTTTTTTTTTTTAAAAACAAGGTCTCACTGTAGCTTAGGTTGGAGTATGGTGGTACAAGCGCAGCTCACTGCAGCCTCAACCTTGTGGGTTCAGGTGATCTTCAGCTTCCTGAGCTGGGACCATGGGCATGTGCCACCATGTCTGCCTAATTTTCAAAATTTTTTTTGTAGAGCAGGGTGTGGTGGCTCATGCCTGTAATACCAGCACTTTGGGAGGCTGAGGCGGGTAGATCACCTGAGGTCAGAAGTTTGAGACCAGCCTGGCCAACATGGTGAAACCCCATCTCTACTAAAAATAAAAGAATTAGTCGGGTGTGGTGGCAAATGCCTGTAATCTTAGCTACTCTGGAGGCTGAGGCTGGAGAATCACTTAAACCCAGGAGGCAGAGGTTGCAGTGAGCCGAGATCACACCACAGCATTCCAGCCTGGGCAACAAGAGAGAAACTCCGTCTCAAAAAAAAATATATTTTTTTGTAGCAATGGGGACCTGCTGTGTTGCCCAGGCTACAAAGGATTTAAGTTATTAAGGCAAAATATTAATATTTTCCTTTTGAAGTACATTTTTATGTCTTGTTTAGGAGCCCTTTACTCCTAGAGTTTACTTGATTTTTCTTAGAGATGAGGTCTTACTAGCCCAGGCTGGTCTTGAACTCCTGGGCTCAAGCAATCCTCCTGCCTCAGCCTCCCAAAGTACTGGGATTACAGGTGTGAGCCACTGCACCCAGCTACTGCTAGGATTTAGACATAATCACCTATATATTGCTCTTAGTAATTCTTGATTAAATAGTTATTTTATAATTTTCGTTATGTTTTTTAATCTGGAAAAATTAGGGTCATTATTTCTTCAAATTCTTTCTTTAGCTCTTGTTCTCTCTTCTCCCTCTGGGATTCCAGTTACATGTGTAACATTTACTATTTCCCCACAACCATTAGATGCTATTTTAGGATTTTTCCCACAGTTTTTTCCTTTTTGCGTTTTCAGTCTGTGTAATTTCTATTATCCTATCATCAAGTTCACTGACTCTTTCCTAGACAGTACCTGTTTTATTGAGGAACCTATTAAAAGTGTTCATTTTCTGTTACCATGTTTTTGGTTTTTAGCATTTCTCTTTGAGTCTTTTTATAGTTTCCATCCCTGAAATTATGTATCTGATTTTGCTTGTTATCTATCTTTTCTGTCAGAGTCTTTGACATTTTAATCGTAATTATTTTAAATACCCAAGCTTTTGGATCCAGCATCTGTCATATTTGAGCCTGGCTCTGGTGATTGCTTATTCTCTTCACACTGTATTTTTTCTTGCTTTCTGGGATGTTTTCTACTTTTTGGTTAAAACTGGACATAGTTATTATAAGGGCCAGTAGACACTGAGGGATAGGGATTTGTAATAATCTAGTCAGGAATTGGGCTGTTGTTTGAAGTCTGTTATTGCTGTCTGTGAGGTTTGTTGTTGCTGTGGGTACCAGAGACTTCAAACTCCTCTAGCAACTTGCTTTGTCTCCTCTCTTGGATTTGGTTCTTCCCTTTGTACTGTTTCCCAAAGAGTCTGTGTGTTTCGGCTCTCCCAGCTGCAGTTTACTGTTATTCTTGGAGACTTGGTGGTAGGGTGTGGGAGAGGGCGTTGTTCTCTAATGTTCTGCTTGTCCATATTTGAACTGGTACAGTGGGCCTCTGATTGTCCTTTAGTTCAAATGGGTAGCCAGTTCTTCTGAACACTGTAAATTGAGTGAGAAATAATTTTTCCTCACTCATAATTGTCATCTTTATTTATCTGCCTTTTTATCTAATTGTCATCTTTGTCTATCTTTTATCATATAACATACAAAATTCCTCTTTATATATACAGTATGCACAGGTCTGTTTTGGGACTCTGTTTTGTCTCAGTGATATATTTGTCTCCATTCTCAAACTGTGTTTTATTACTACATTTTGTAATATATTTTGATGTCCAGTAGTGAAACTCCTCCTTTACCTTCATTCTTTTATTTCTTTTTTATTTATTTTTTATAAGATGAGATTGGTGTGCAGTGACACAGATCATAGCTCACTGCAGCTTTGAAGTAAAGCAATCCTTTCACTTCAGCCTCCCAAGTTGCTGGGATTACAGGCATGAGCCACCACACTCACTTCATTGTTCATCATTTAAAAAATTGACTTGGCTATTATTTTTTTGTTGTTTTTGAGATGGAATCTCACTCTTTCACCAGACTGGAGTACAGTGGCGCGATCTTGGCTCACTGCAACCTCTACCTCCTGGAGAATCCTTCCCTTCAAGGGATTCTCCTGCCTCAGGCTCCCAAGTAGCTGGGATTACAGACACTTCACGCCCAGCTAATTTTTGTATTTTTAGTAGAAACAGGGTATCACTATGTTGGCCAAGATGGTCTCCATCTCTTGACCTCGTGATCTGCCCACCTCGGTCTCCCTAAGTGCTGGGTTTACAGACCTGAGCCACCTTGCGTGGCTGACTTGGCTATTCTTAAAGATTTTTTCTGATTAATTAGATTCATCCTGTCAAGTTTCTAGAAATCTATTGGGATTCAGTTGAATTGCGTTTGATTTACAAATGGAATTATGAATAGAATTGACATCTTTTTAACTTTGCATTTAATTTTCCCATCCAGTAACTTTGTATATTTATTTGGGTCCACATTTACATGAAATAAAAGTTTAATATTTTTCTTCATAATACTCTTATACATGTGTTGAAGCCTATGAACCAAAATGTACCAGGGACACATTTGTAGTCAAAAAAAGGTTAAGTTTATTTAGCTTGCTGCATCAAGAGAAAATATACCACAGAAGAACTGTGGGAGCATCTCAACAAGGGGAATTGGAAGGGCTTCTCATAGGGTTTAAGCTTGTAGCAGATGATTTAAAGGGGAATTAAGGAAGCCAGAGGCCAGCAGGACATGGTGGTTCATGCCTGTAATCCCAGCAGTTTGTGAGTCCGAAGTCGGAGGATCATTCGAGGCCAGGAGTTCAAGACTGACCTGGACAACATAGCAAGACCTCGTCTTTACAAAAATAAAAATTTAGCCAGATGCGGTGGTGCCTATCTGTAGTTCCAGAAGCTCTGGAGGCTGAGGTGGGAGGATGACTTGGGCTCAAAAGGTGAAGGCTGCAGTGAGCCATGATCATGCCACTACATGTAGCCCAGGGGACAGAGTGAGACCCTGTCTCTTTAAAGAAACAAAAAGAAAGAAACAGAGGCCAGTTTTGAATCATCATCCCTCTGGAAATAATATGCTTCTAAAATGCTCAGTTTTGAATATGTGATACTCTTATTCTCTCCTCGGTTAAAAATGATTTATTAAAATGAAGTCTTGCCCCTTGTAGCTGTAGTGAATATTACATGCTTTATATGTGAGTGATTTATTAATCAGTTTTATCTGGTAACAAAGTTATTGTTTCTATGTATACAAGTAGAAATAGGGTCACCTTTTGATGTTGTATTTTTCTATATGTATCAGCATAGTGATTGCATTAAAATCCATTCGTATTTTTTCCCCTCTAGCAAAATCCTTTATATGACACAGAAAGATGCAAGGTATTCCAGTGTGATCTGACGAAAGATGATCTTCTGGATCATGTACCAACAGAATCTGTGGATGTTGTTATGTTGATATTTGTGCTCTCAGCTATTCATCCTGATAAGATGCACCTTGTCTTACAAAACATTTACAAGGTTAGTCATTTGGGGCCTGCACTTGAGAGTTGGACAGTTTTGATTCTTTTGCTTACCCTCTCTCATGAGGCTCATGTACTGTCTAGATTCACATGGTGTCTCCATCCTCACTAGGTAGACTGTAGTAGGTGTTTAGAAAGGTGTCCTCTGGCATAAAACATCCACTCTAAATTCCGATTTGTGTAGTGGCATGGCTGCTCTTTAGAGCTTGGCCAGCCCTGGGACAAGGATGATTTTGCATTTACCTGGAATCCATGGAGTCCTGCTATAAGGTGAGAGGAGTTATGGTTCAGTGGTCAAGAGTACACAGTTTGGCCAGGTTCAGTGGCTCACATCTGTAATCTCAGCACTTTGGGAGGCCGAGGCGGGTGAATCACTTGAGGTCAGGAGTTCGAAACCAGCCTGGCCAACATAGCAATACCTTGTCTCTAAAAAAAAGTTAATGCATGATCACTTAACCCTTTTGAGTACTGGTTTCCTTATCTCACCTGAGAATAATAATCACATTCCCTTGTCTCACAATTGGGTGAAAAGACAATGAGAAAATGTATGGTTAAGCTGTTAAATGCTAGGCATGTATCAGTCATTAGCACCATCATTGAGCTACATATTGTGGCACAGTGAAATGAGAGCTGAGACTCAGAATGAGGAAAACTAACCTGAATCAGTAAAAAGCCAAAATGACATTCTGTTTTTGTTTTGTTTTTTTTTTT